AGAATTTTGAAGATCGCATAATAAAATTTCATTAATCAATTTGATATTCTGAGAGGACATAAATGCAAGCGCCTTACGCGACTATGCTTGCATTACAAAATCCATGAATTTCCGGGCATAAGTTATGCTGTACAACAAGGCGTGGAAAATTCAAACAAGCAACTGTTGCGATCTGTGCCATGTTGTGCTCCAACCAAAACGAATGTAAAGATTGCGGTAAGGACCCATCCCAGTCAAGCTTATCCTTTCATAGGACCAGCATAAAAATATTTAGCTTAACAATGATCGGGGCTATTAACCCCAGTCGTAAAATTTAGTGATGCGGATAGGATGTTGCGTTTGGTTGCTGCAGTCTGTCCACCCGCTTTACATCGTTTCCGCCGTGGAACTTTAAAGTCTTTTCGTAATTCGACATGTGTTTTCCTTCTAGCTCCGCAGCCTCGTTGGAGCATTTGCAATCGTAAAATGTCGCTTGTCTAAGAGGTTTTTATCTTCAATGCTGCCTCCTCCCGAAATGGTCGTAGAATCTGGGCAGTTGTCGAGCTTAGAGGCGGCTCCTAGTCCCGGCATGGTACGAATTCGCCAGAGCGAAGCAAGCAGCATGTATTCGCTATTATTTGGCGACAAGGCTACATGTAGTGTTTTGGACAGGGCTACAGAAACTAAAGATGAGATATGTGGTGGCAAAGGGATTCGGTTACATATGAAGAACGCTGCTAGCATAAACGAAGATGCTTTTCCCACCTTTGTTTTTGTACTCGTTTGTTCCTCCACAACCGTGTTGAACATTGTGTAAAAGTCCGGGCAATTGATCGGTGCTCCGCCAAATCGCGGAAGCTGAATTTGCCGTAGTCCGATAGGCATCGAATTTGATTTAATGGCGACTATGCAATGCCGTTAATTTTGCCATGGACTTTCTTTTCTCTTTTTACTTTGGTTTTACAATATGGTGTCGTAAATTTTATATACGCATCAGATTCCATCTAGCTAGCCGCTCGAGGTTAAGTTGAGAGCAGTCGAAAGCGGAATTCATTCGCTCGACTAAATTCCTCACCGCAACCAACCCTGTCACACTGATGCTGGCGTATCGATAGGTATGTTCAATGAAATGAAGCAACCTTACGACAAGAGCTCCCATAGCGATGTTATTATGCGTTCTAAATGTGCATAATTCATTGGCAGGGTTAACGATTACATAGATCCCCCAACCAAACCACCTCGTACTACACACTAACTACAATCGGTTAAGAAATATCAGGATGTAGCTCTTTCGCAACAAGCGGTTTCTGCGTTCAACATAACATGAAAACCCATGATATAAACACAGACTTAATTATAAACGGCGCTTATACCAGGCAAAAGACGATTATAGATTAATGGAAATCGGTAACCAGCAAAGCCTATTTATAGACTCACGAATAAAAGTCAGAGAATTCCCCCCATCTGACTACCTAGAAGCTATACCAACACTTATATATAAAGGTAAAGAAAATATTTACAATTTAAAAAGATTCAAAATGTCAAGAACAGAACATCTAATCAACGAAGAGAAGACAGATTAAAAAATCTGTATTTATTCTATCATCAGAGCGATCCTCTTACTTTCACAAATCTTGTAAAACATAAAATTAAATTTACCGACGAAAGTCCCATTTATACCAGTCCTTTTACAAAGACAAATTAACGAAATGTTAGAGCAAAAAGTTTTTATATGTTTAATACATATTCACAGAGTGAAAGTCAATGACAACAGACGTGTTTTTATATTGCCGACTTATATTTGTAAACTAGATAGCCCTTGTAGTTGGCAGTTTGGTTCCCGCCAGATTTGCTATACTTCCTTAGCACAGAATCCTCTTTATTTACTGGGCAATCATTTGTATTTTGAAGATCACCGCAGGCAACACATACTGCACGAAGAGTACAGCAGCTTTTTGTATGACCATATCCCTGGCAATTCACGCATTGGAGAAGACTGTTTCTTTTATGAGGCTCCTCCACGGTAATTCTAACATGGAGAAGGTACTGATCTTGTAAATGGGGTGAACTCAGTTATTCTTGGGGTTTTCGCACTAGCGCTAGCTCGATCTTAAACCGTGGCTGTGCGATTTCTGCCCCAGCAAAAATAAGTCGAACGTCGGCTCAATGCCCTCGATTAAAACTTTGACTTCGACACTAACTACGACAACAACCACCACATCAACTGCAGTTTCTGTTTCGTTAGCTCTTATTGACAAATTAGCCAACACCGAAATAAAAAAAAACGGAATCGATTGGTACGTGCAAATAAAAATAAAATAAGCCCACAATCAAAAACAAATGCATCAAAAGTTAACAAGAAATCGTAGCCACTGTGCCAAACAATGCGCTGACAGGAAACCGATTTTCTATTCTCAGTTACCCTTATGCAACTAATAATGCTCAAACACCTAAAGCCAAGCAACTAAGGCCACCACTCATTTTTGTGCAGGCAAAATTTGCAGAATTGGTAAAAAAAAAAACTACATTCCATAAAAAGGGGTAATATTAATGAAACAAAAATACAACTAAACGACTAGCAAGATTACCGATCGGTGGCCAAACACCATGACAACGGAAAAATTAACTACTACACCGACCAACTTAAAAGTTGCAAAGTACTACAAGAAATTATTAAAGGTATCGAAGCAACAGAACCTATTTATGAGATTATAGCTGGACTTAAAGGAAAGGGTTTAAATGTCAAACAGGGTTGGAATATATTAAATAAAAACAAAGTTCCTCAGCCAATGTTCAAGGTAGAGTTAGGTCCTGAAAGTATGAAAAACAATGAAGATCACCTAATCTATAAGCTTCAATATCTATTTCACCGTAGGATAACCGTAGAGGAACCCCATAAGCGAAATGGGCCTGAGCAATGCATGAACAAATACGGCTACACAAAAACTTAGTGCCTGTGGGGCCGCAAATTCAACTGAGGCCTGTCCTATAAACAAGGAGATCCACTCTGACATAAAATGTAGTAATTGTGGTGGAAACCACAATGCAAATTACAGCAATTAGTTTCTCTATAAAGAGTTGAAAAGTCGACTAGGCCAACATAAGCTCGAAATCCTATAACCCGGAACAATTACCCAGGTCAGCAAACCACTGCTGATTTAGTGCGGCAAGCAACATTGAACCAGAGTCCAGAAACTACTGGCCAACATATAACTGTAATCACACAATTGCCTAACGGCCTAAAATCAATGCTGATAACTATAACCAACACAATGGCAATACAGCAACCGCTGCAGGAACTTACCCGCCACCAAAATCTCGTTTTGGAGCTATTAATCAAACAAAAATCACCTTAGATAGTTTTCTTAAAAATATGTTTCTGGAATGCAAAGTGGCATCTCACAGCACAAATTCGAGCTCTAGCAGTTCCTAGGTCAGTAAGACATTAACGCCATGCTTATATCAGAGACACACCTAACAACCAAAAACCATTTTCAACTTAATGGATAGAGCAAACACGTCACCTTTACCCTAAACAGACAAACTTGTCCCCACTATCTCTGAAGAATATTTATATATCATAAACAACTAAAGTAACATATCTTGGATATCCACCTTGACAGACGGCTTACTTGTCGTAGGCACATCGAAGCTAAGAGAACACAACATTAATTAAGAGCAAGAAGCCTACATTGGTTAATAAAAAAAAAAAAAAATTGGAGTACAAGCTACTTCTATACTATATAGTTTTCAAGCCAATTTGGAAATATGGCATTTCAAAGAGTAATGGACAACGTATGCCGAATGTTGCCTAATATCCCTATATGACATAATCTTTTTTCACCTTCCCTCCAAGAACACTTTTAAAAAATTTATGAACAACATGTAACAGAAATAAAATCTGTTCTACCTTTTCTTTCAGACAGGATTGCTTTTGAGGATTTTAATCGGCCATCATATCTCATATCTCTTGGTCCGGTGCAACTGACTTGCTTGCCACCAAACCGTAATTTGATCATGACTTCGTTAATGGTCTTTCTAATTTTTCACTACAACAAATAAGTTCTGCCCGTAACATTATGAATAGACACTGAATAGACACAGCCGTCCTCGTATGTGGTATCTATCATTGGTGCCGTTCCTGCAAAGAGAAAAGTTACCGTTACCAACCAACCTTAGTATTAAGTGTTTCTCTTCCCATCCATGCAGCTCCTTCGATATAAGAGTCTCAGGTTAAAACCAGTTGTTTCTTTAGGTGTGACTTCACTAAACTAAATTCCTTGATTTCTGAATACATTTGGACAAGATTATATAAGTTAACATTACTGAAGGGTAACAAACAGTCGGTAGAAATCTCGTATGATTCCTGGATCACCCTAGTGTTTCTAGCGGTTGGTTTACCGACAAAGTGAGCATTTTTTTTACAGTTAAGTTTTCAGTTCTGTTTTACATATATTTGAATAAAGAGCATTTGCCTTGTGAACTTGACTCCGCCTATCGTCGTCAACTTATTTGCATTCGCCCTCTGAGCTTAAGGCCAGGGGTATTGGGGGGCAGTCTCCCTCTTACCATAAACTGACACAGCAAAAAGCGTCCTGCTGGTGCCACACTATCAGCAGCATACTTCCCTGCGGGCACCGCCACCGGGCCACAAACCTTTTTTCTACAATTTTTATGTGACTTGGATTTGGAAAAGGTATCAAAATTTTGTAGTGCTTTATACTTATTTTTTGTTAAATGTGTTCCCCAGTGCATTGCCTTAACAGGAAAGAGATTACCTTGGTTTTTCACCGTTTGTAGGCGTTAGAGTGGACCGCATGGTAAAACCTTCATGGGCTGCACTAGCATCGCTAAAAGATGTTATAAATTATCAAACAAGTCAATAAGTTATTTAAAGGTTAAGGTACTATTCACTCGTTCATACAGAAATATGTTTACAAACGCCCAAAATATATTTAGTTACATAAATTTTTCCGTTCTTAAGGCAAACTAATTAATATAAATCATATTTTTATTTTCAGAGCTATCCATTATTAAACAAAAGTCACTTAAAATTGACCAAGATTTGGAAATTTCTCAGGGAAAAGCTAAGGACTTACAGATATGCATTAAAAAATTTACTTCGAAATTGGAACTACTTAATGAGAAAATATATAAAAAAAGAATACATCATGATTTTGAGGAGACACAGTTTCAACACGAGCAGGCTGAGTATGCACAAAAGTTAAAGGTATGTTATTTAAGGCTTCATATATATATTTTTAAATGCAATTATTTTATAGTTTGCGGAGTTTGGAATATTAAAGTTGGAAGAAACAATTAATGACCTTCAGAACGAAATTGAACTTTACAAAGATTTCGTCATTGATAGCCATAGAAAAACTTTGTCGTGGGAAACAAAATACAAATTGCTTGAGGAAACTATTCATTGGTCGAAAATAGATAGATCCGTAAAAAGTGAAATTGGTCTTATGAAAACTGAAATACATCGCATGAATATAAGATACGAACAACTTAAACGAGCGCAAGAAAGTCTTGTTTTGGATCTAGAACATTGCGTTATGCACCGCGAACAAATTTTTGTCAATGCATCAGTTAAAGAATATGTAAAAACTAAATTTACGAACATAAAAAATTCTTCTCAAATTCAATTGAGACTTGACGAAGTTCATAATAGGACAAAACTTATCAAGAATGCAATACAACTTTTATCGGAAAAAAACTTGATCGATGATATAAATAAAATTGAACGAATGATTTATATGATACGGAGAATTCAAGCTGATCTCAATGATATCATAAAGGATGATGCTAACATCCTAGATCGTATTGAAGAAGGAGTTTTATCCAAGCATGCCAATTTGGAGCAAATAATACGAAAACAAATGAGAGCAAAAGCATTTCGAAAGCTTAATATATTAAAATCACAGCAGAAAATAGGTCGTGCAGAGGTGACAGTACAACTAATTTCACAAAAACAAAGCGAGCTGAATTTCACTCTCCAGAAAATTGTCCAAACTCTTTTGGAAAACTTCCCTGACAAGAAAACATTTTTTACGAAAGTACTTCACGTACTTAAGGATTAGCATTTTAAAAATTAAATATTTAAACTTTACAGAGTGTAAAATAAACTTTAATAAAATCATAGAAGAGATTTCCCTTTAAAATATTAAAAAAGTAAAGAAGTTTTTAATTAATAATTAGGGAAATATTTGCAAACCATAACCATAAAGAACGATATATGCACGTTGAAGGTCGGAAATTTGTATAAGCATGCAAATTAAATTTATAATAGAGTCGAAGATTAAAAAAATTTTTATTTTATTTTTATTGTGTTTACCTTTTTTTTATTCATTTCACAATTTAAGACACTTAATTTTAGTTAATCTTAACTAGCCCGCTCGTTTGGAGTCCCGAAAAAGAACTGCCCTGGTTGGGAAAATTATTATTCTGATACCTCGGCTTGAGTGAGTTTTTTATCCAAGGAGATTAAAAAGAGTAAAGAGAACAGAGTAGGAAAACAATTGGCTGATGAAATAATTGGGAGTAGATAAATTGATTACTCGACAATAATTGGGTTAACAACTGGCTCGGACTTGATCGGAGCGGAAAATTTATGTCAGCCGACATTTGTTTATAGTAGGCCGGATGTGATCCAGAGTCGATGAGGGGAGTGAGGGGAGATTCTGGTAGCGATGATAGAATCACACAGCGTTCTCACAGGGCTCGGTTTTGGTAAAGGGAGATTTTGCTAGCGAAGCTTGCATTTTCAGCGCTTGCTAAGATTGGAGAATTGTTTATAATTTTCCTAAGGTCTGAATGCTTCCGGGTAAGATAACACTCCTCCTTCTAGATTAAAGCGTCCCGATTCAAATGACGTTGGTGTGATAGCGTTTAGTTGAGCTGCCAAATCTGCTACAACATTCTCTTGGATATTATTTTGAATATTGTTGCTGTTCATGATAGTTTTTAGCAGTGGTTTGATGATTAATAGATATTGTTTAATTTAATTATTAACAATAAAATTATATTATATATACGGAAACTACTGATATTACGATAAGTGCTAGAGGTATTTATGTCTTTCTGATTTGAACAAATGGGTTTAGAATTTTTATATGGTCAAAGGATAATTCCGAATTCTTGGATAATATATATTCTGATATTTCAAAATTGATGTAATTGTGGGCTGTAATAAATTCGAGCATCTTATTATCAATGTTTGTATAGGATATGTTGTTTATTACGGTAGTGCCATTGAATGTAATTAAAAATGTTCTATTTTAATAAGTACCGTTTACCATATTACTAACGAGTTGTATAACATATATTTTTTTATTTCTTATTTATTATTTTCTCCATTTATTAAACGTGTAAAACATGATTGGTTTTTACTTCGACTGCAATAGTTATTGAATAATTCTTTCTTAAAATTAAATATTTCATAAAATGTGTTGTTGCATCGTTTTGAGAAATATTCGTCTTCTCAGAAAACATAAATGACTTCGTTAGCCGAAGTCACAACACTTTGTTGTTATACCAATAATATGCATAGGGCATTGCCCTTGTCACTCAGCGACCACATGCCAAGTGCCCACATACGTTTCAAGTGCAAACGTAATGTGATATGCACTCTTAGCGTACCCCACGTATAGCCGAGTCAGCATGGTTCCCACACTGATCGCTTTTTCTTTTTAAAACAACAATTCACCGATTATTGTTTACAACTTTAGCAAATTTTAGTATAGCTCACCAATAGACTTTTAGCTTTTACGACTGTTCACCAATTACTGTTTTTTTCAACTCTTAACGGCAATTCACCGCACACACTAATAGTAATCTTGTAGTCTAGGGCAAATTATTTATTTCGATTGAGCCCCCATTTGTAGGTATTTTCATAAAATAGATTTTTATTTATTTATTAAGTAGTTTAAAAGATATTAATGAATTTGCTTCGTTTACAAACATAAATGCGTTTATCGCGATTTTGCAGCCAACGACCGTTCTCAATATGACGACTGACTCCTAGCTCTCTCTCACTGCCGAACGTTGAAGTGTCCCGATAATCGATAAATTAAAAGAATCTTCCACTATGAGTAGTTTTGTTATTCTCTTTCCTCTCGATAATTCTACATGTGTATGCATAACTCCCTCTCCCTCTCTCTGCACATTTTACATATTGTTACTCTACTTATATATAAAATATATAGGTCGGCTGCTCTGCCGCTGCGCCGATAGCTAGCAAACCTTAGTTTAAGAGAACTAAAGAACATTCGAATAAAGACAACTAAACCAAACAGTCGACAAATAGTCTTTTTATTTAAAAAGTGATTTATGAATTCTACATGGCGACCGTGACAGTTGTCACAATCAACTGAACTCAACAACAACAAGAAGAATGATCAGGAATCTAGGATTCGACAACAACAACTACAATTCTACATGGAAGATTAATTGGCAACAATACAAGGCGACAGGAGGACACATGAAAAAAATATGAGTGAGTAGAGTGTGAGTTATGGTACGTGAAGGGCAGAAAAACAAAATTAATAAAAGAATAGCGCTATTCGCACAGTCTACACCGCCCGAATGGACGACTGCTCAATAACTTTATGACCTTGAATTTTTAAAAGAAACCCTCCAAAATAGCAAATGATAAAAAAATTGTAAATCAAAAACTAATAAAAAAAAACCAAATACTCCCAAGCCAAAACGACTAGAAGTCTGCCCGACCGACTGCCCCGGATCTCTCTACTCTGCGGCATGCAATTCTTATGCGTGAAGCCAAAGACCAGTGCGAGGACCGGCACCGGCCCCGCCTGAGCCAATAGGCCACGGACATCAGCAGCAGATCAACAAGCGAGAGTGGCAACCCGGTGACCCTAATAAATAAACAAAAAGAAGCCATTCTGTCTAACTTGCATGACGATCCCATACAAGAAGGTCATACTGGCACTTCCAGAACTTTAGCAAAAATCAAAAGACATTATTTTCAGAAGAATATGACTCGTAATATTACTGAATACATAACACATAATAATTGTCCATATGAGCTAGTATGACCATACATAGATAATAATATATATATTATTATATTTTTGTATTAAAAATATCGATTTTCGCTAAAGTAATGGTGTTCTGAATCTTGGGATTCTGAATTTTCTAAGCTCTCATCTGAGAGGTGGGTAATTTGGATACTTGACAATGCGTCAGAAAATACATAAGTAGTTCCTGGTTTGTAAATAATTTTAGGACAGTAACTTTCAATAAATGAGTACCACCGCTTCATTTCTTCATTAGGATTTTTGTCTGAGACCGTGAAGGATAATGACTAATGGTCAGTTTGGATTTCTATTCCAACTACCCCGTAGAGATATTTTCAAAGGTTTTTTAATTCCCAGACTATGGCTAATACTTCCTGCTTGATTGTTGCGTAAATTTGCTCCGTTTTTGATAATGTTTTTGAAATAAAAGTTATTGGTTTGCCTTCCTGTGAAAGGACTGTGCCAATAGCAAAATCTGAGGCGTCTTTAGGTAATGTGAATTTCTTGTTATATCTGGTTGAGTTAGTTCTATATAAGCTACACGATTTTGTTTAAGCTCGTTAAAAGCTTTTACAGCAGATTCATCCAGCTGTATGGAAATTTTTCTAGACATTGTTTCGAATACTTTACCATTGTTTCCTCCTAAATATTTGGTAAGAAATTTCGCTATTATTGCGTAATTCTTTACAAACTTTTTATAATAACCTGTTATCCAAGGAGACTTCTGAGCTCTTTAATATTTTTGGGTTGCGGATATTTAAGAATAGTTGAAATTTTTCCGGGATGAGAAACTGGTTTCTTTCATAAAGAATTTTGATTTTTCAAGCGAAATTTTCATGTTTGCTTTGAATAAAATTTTTATAATTTTCAATAGGTCTTGGTAATGCTGATCAATTGTGTCGGAAAATATAATTATGTCGGCCATGTAAACGTGACAAATTTTCCAAACTTGTTCCCTTAATATGTAGTCCATTGCTCTCTGAAAAATTCTAGGAGCATTCGTTAGGCCAAATGGCATTCTTAAAAATTCGTAATTTCCATTGTTTATGGAAAATTAATATTTTAATATTTGATGAAAACCGGACTCTAGGTACATTGTTAAAAAGAAATTTGCCTTTCCTAAATTTGCTAAGATTACAGATGGATCCTGCATCGGATATCTATCTGGAACGGTATTCTCGTCAAGTTTCTTATAGACAATTACTAATCTTAGCTTAGGGCTTCCGTCTTCATTTTGTCCCTTTTTTGGCACTAAGACAGGTGAGTTGCATGGGCTTCTACTTGGCCTTATTATTGGTTCTGATAACATTCGGTTTATTTCATAATTAACAAAATCTGAGACTGACAGAGCGCATGGATTCTGGTTGCTGTAAACTGGTCTGTCATGTTTTATTATATTTTCTTTCATTCTTTCTACTTAGTTTGAAAATTCCAACTAGATTTTATTTAATTCACTATTAACTGATAAATCAACGTCGGAATCCTCGGTTTTCGATCCGCCATTCATTTTCATGTCGTAGACTGAATTAGTTTTGTTTAATGCTAATTCATTGAAATATTTATTTATAATAAATATATAATTCAATTAAGGGGAGATACATTTTTCCCTCGGTGGAGGATACTTTATTTCCGCTCACTTTATTACGAAAAACTAATTTTTCTTCCTTTTCGTGATATTTTAGGACGCCTATATTTGTGTCGATCACGGTGAATATTTTTTGAGTATTTTAAATTCTACTAGCAAATCGGCATCTAAACCTTTAATTTTGTAAAATTTTTTTTGTGTTAAAGATTGTTATCAAATGTTTTATTATACAGTAGCTCTTTTTGTTTCAATATATCCACTTTTTTATATACCACGATGATGTTGCTCCTGTATCAATAAATATTTTAAATTTTTGTTTTGATTGTCTGTCTATTCTTGTCAAGTAGGGTAAGCCTATTTTCTTCCTGGTCTAAAAAATGATATTGTAAACCCTCTGGGTTATTGTACTAGTTGGTTCGCGTGTTAATGGCGGAAGGGCTTATTTAAACTCAAAAGTATTTTGTTGGTTATAGCTCGGATGGCTTGAATATTGTCGGCTACAATTTTTGTT